TCTGGCCTAGCTTCTTCAGATACCCCCAGCAGGTTCCTGTGTCTCACTCTGGTTCCCCCAAGCAACTACTGCTTCTTTCTTGAGTGTCCCTTGAAATCTTGCCAGATGTGTGTCGTTCTTGTTGTTTCTGTGCTTGGCCTGTCCTGGGTTGTTTTTAAGGGTATGTTTACAATGCAATTAGTACAGCAGCATCACTATAGTATAGACACTTGCTAAAGCTACTAAAGGGGATTTTCCATTGCTGTAATCAATTCACCTCCTCAAGTGGAGTAGCTACTTGACACAGGAATTTTTCCGTTGACCTAGCTGCACCTACAGTGGGAGTTAGGCTGACTTAACTGCATTACATGGGGCATGAAATTAGGTTGACCTAAGTTTTAGGGATAGACCAGGACTAGACAAACCAGTTCTGTAGCCTCAGCAGGAGATGGAGCTACAATCCTAGCCAATGGTTCCAGCCTTGTCCCTTAATTGCTCTTGCATCAGTTGATAGGAGGATATCTGGAGTCATCTCTTCCTTCCTGCCTGTATTCCAGACAAAGTCCTATTGAGTTGAACCAATTTATTCATACACTGTCCATTGCAGTGAGCATCCTAGCCTGGGTCAACAGACTCAGGCTAGCGGGACGTGAGCTACCACGCTAAAAATATCTGTTTAGATAGTGATTTCCACTTGTGGCTCAGGTTCTGGAGCCCACCACACTCCCTAGGCTTCAGAACCCGTGTCAGAATGTCTACCCAGCTATTTTTAGTGCAGAAGCTTGAGCCCAGCAAGCCCAAGTCTGTTGACTCAAGCTGGGTGGCTCACTGCCATGGGCTGTGTAGACATACCCACAAAAAACATCTCAATCACCAGGTCAACATACAGTATCCATCAATTCTTACAAGGCAGCTCCAACTCCATTACAAATGTACTAAATTTTACAGCTAGGCAAAAAAATGTTGGTGGAGCATTTTTCAATGGAAAAATCAAAAGGTTTTACAAGAAGGAGTCAATTTTGTCAACATTTTCTAAGGAAGAAAAGTCAAAGCATTTCATTTTTATTTTATCACAGGGGTGGCCAAACTTTCTGACCCTTTGAGTCATATATAATAATCTTCAGAAGTTCGAGAACCATGCCTGTCAGGGCTCTGGGCTTCTGCCCCGTGGGGTGCACCTGCCGGGGCTTAGGCCCCACTCCTTCTGAAGCCCTGAGCCCAGCAGGTGTGCCCTGAGCCTCAGTGCCTCCTGTGGGTAAACCCCCAAGACCACCCTGCCACAGGGCAGAAGCTCTCCCTTCCCTTTGTCTGGTAGGCGGAGAATGGGTCGGGGGGAAAATCTGTGAGTTGCACTTTACCTGTACAAGAGTCGCATGTGACTCATGAGCTGCGGTTTGACCATGACTGCTTTATCATTTCAATTCATTTTGTTTTGAGTTTTATGTTATATTAAAATAGTCATGTTAATATTCTATTGTATTTATATATTATATTAAATATTATCCATACAATATTATATTTAATATTTTAATATAATAGGAGAGTCTAAACAAAATAATACCACATTATCAAAAGGCAACAGTGTTACCTTATCTCAGTGAAATGTTTGGACATTATCAAAATAAAATGAATCAATATTATCAAAATATAACATTTTGATGTTTCCAAATCCAAAATTTTCAGAAGCTTTGTTCCATGGGAAATTTAATATTTAATTCCAATTTGGAAAAAAAATTGTTTTGAAATTTCAGAATTTCCCATAGAATGGGAATTCCAGTCTCTAACTGGCTCCATTAAACTTTAAATATATATATTGTCCATGTTCTCCTCCAGGTTTTGTTGGATTTTCTCTAGATACAACCCATGGCAAATGCAGATTTGGGAAATCAAACATCCATCACAGAATTCATCCTCCTGGGATTTGGGAACCTCCAGGAACTGCACTTTCTTCTCTTACTGCTGTTTCTAGTGATCTACATTGCGACCATGGGGGGGAACGTCCTCATCGTTGTGTTAGTTGTGGCTGATCAGCACCTTCACACACCCATGTACTTCTTCCTGGGGAACTTGTCCTGCTTGGAGACCTGCTACACCTCCACTATCCTGCCCAGGGTGCTGGCCAGTCTCCTGACTGGAGACAGAACCATTTCTGTTAGTGGTTGCATCACACAATTTTATTTCTTTGGTTCTCTGGCAGCTACAGAAAGCTATCTCCTTGCCATAATGTCTTATGACCGGTATTTAGCAATTTGTAACCCCCTGCATTATGCAGCCCTTATGAACAGCAAATTTTGCCTTCAGCTAATGGCTAGTTCTTGGATAAGTGCTTTCTTGGCCAATTGCTTAGTGATATTTTTGGCATCACAATTAACTTTTTGCAACTCCAATGAAATTCCCCATTTCTTTTGTGACTTCTCCCCAATTGTAAAACTCTCCTGCAGTGACACCACCCTCATTGAACTTCTGACTTTCATCATGGCCTTTATATTCACAGTGACACCATTTCTGTTAACCCTGTCATCCTACGTTTGCATCATCACCACCATCCTGAAAATCCCATCCACCAGGGGGAGGCAAAAGGCATTTTCCACCTGCTCCTCTCACCTCATTGTGGTGACCATTTTCTATGGAACCATCATGATTGTCTACATGCTCCCAGACACCAATACACTGCGAGACCTGAACAAAGTGTTCTCTGTCTTCTACACAGTTCTGACTCCTCTGGTCAACCCCCTCATCTACAGTCTGAGAAACAAAGAAGTACACAAAGCCCTGAGGAGAAAGACTGCCAATAAACGGAGAGCTTTTTGCGAGAGCTAAGATGATCTGATCTCATTCCATTAGGTTCAACTGAAATAGGGGTAAATTGACATGCTTGAATGAGTGAGAGCAGCACATTCTGGGTAGCCTGACGCTGGCAACTGGAATTCCACTAGAGAGAGTGATGGCACACTGAGGTTACTGACAGCTACAGAGGAAGAGTCCAGTGGCTGAGGTGCTACCCTGCATTTGGTTCTTTGCTTTCCTCAAAGCCCTTGTGATCGTGAATTTAGTCTCTCTGAGCCAGATTTTTTAAAGGATTTAGGTGCATAAAGATGCAGCAGGGTGCCTATGGCTAGAGTAGCATGCTTCTGCTTAAAAATAAGAGGAGGCCATTCGAAGTTTAAGTTTAAAAGTTAAGAAACAGACAGTCTACATGTAATCAGCCATCAATAATAACAATAATAAATGGTACATTTCTTCTATAAATAAACTGGGCACCACAAGTATCAATGGTAATGATAATAATTACACTTAGGGACAAATTTTTAAAGGAATTTAGGCACCTAGTAGGGTTTTTAAAAGCACCTAACACCCATTGAAATAGATGAGGTTTAAAGTTGAAGCTAGACAATTTCAGCCTGAAAATAACATGCACATTTTTAACTGTGAGCACATCAGATAGAATGTGATGGGAGCCAGATCAGAACATTAGGTAGATTGGCCACACACACTCCACTCTAGGACTGATACTTGGTTTGTGGTAAAGATTAGGGGTGCCAGTTATTAAAATGTTTTTGTTGTTGTTGTGATGGGTGTGAGCGCTTGAAAACTTTCACTGAGATCTCCGGGCAGAGGAGTGACCTCTGATATGTTGTACTGAAATTGTACTTAATTATTCTTAGGCTAGGAAGCATTGATTTTTATCAGTAAAGGTCAGTAAATGCTGATTTCACTGCACACAAACAATCCAACAAAGATATTTCCATCCATAAAAATTGAAATTTAGATAGGCAAAGAAAGAAAAATGTTTCTTGAGAATTCATTGCAGTTTGATGTAAAGCTATTTACTTTATATATTTTGACATGTGATATTGACCATTTGTGTTTTAATGGTTATAAAGCATTAAAATTGTTGAATCTGACCATCAACTATGATTAAATAATTATTGTCTGACCCCCATAGTCTTAACCCTGAATACTTTCCCCCACCATGAAAATTTAAATAGCTAAAAATAAAAATAAACATGAATGTTACCTATTGAAATTATAAGAACAATTCAAATAAAATTCTATCAAGCCTACCTATTCTTTACATTTTTGTACAGATGGGCTTGTTGCATAAAATTAGAATTTAAAAATAAAATTAGCACATTCTAGTTCTGATTATTCCCAAGAGTCAACTGAGAATGGAGCCCCTTTGTCCCAGGATTGTATAAACATAGGGGGATAAAAATCTCTGCACCAAAAAGCTTGCAATCTAAGTAGACTATGGGTAATGAAGTGGCTAGATAACAGGGCTTGTATCTGTGCTCTGCTATAGACCCCCGTGCCATCTTACATAAGTCACTGAAGGGCCAGATTTTTAAGGTATTTAGGCACCTAGTGGGATGTTCAAAAGCATCGAGGTGCCTAAAGCTCAACGGATGTTTTTGAAAAATCCATTTATGTTCCTAAATCGCTGTAAAAATCTGGCCGTAGGACTCTAAAAAATGTCAGTTCTACTCTTCCCCTCAAAGTGAGCAGCTGAGCTCAGAGTCCCTCATTTTCATTTTATCCAAAAATAAATTGGCTGGCGGGGGGGGGGGGGCAGGGTTTGCAAATGTCATGTTAGTTCCCTGTTTAAACACTTCCCCATTGTTAAATAATTAACTACCCACTGGACCAGGGATTCCCAGGTGAATGCTGGAGGCATCAGGCTATTGAGTCTCTCTGGCCCAGTGACTATTCAAGTGCTCTGTCTTCATGCAGTGCAAAGAGATCTTACACTGGCCAGAGAAAGCCCTGGAGAATCTCCAGCCAGGGCAATGCCAATAGTGGTAGCCTTCTCCACCTGCCATCACCATCTTTAAATTAGTTGCCCAGCCTCTCAGACTGAAACCACCATGTCTGTGCAGGAGTATGTGGGCTGTAATATGAGACTACTCCTTCATGTCACCAACTAGTTCAGTGGGTGATATTCCTCTCTAGCAGCTTATCCATGGGGATATGTCATAACTATAAAGGGAAGGGTAACAGCTCTCCTGTGTACAGTACTATAAAATCCCTCCTGGCCAGAGACGCCAAAATACTTTTACCTGTAAAGGGTTAAGAAGCTTGGGTAACCTGGCTGACACCTGACCCAAAGGACCAATAAGGGGACAAGATACTTTCAAATCTTGTGGAGGGGAAGGCTTTTGTTTGTGCTCTTTGTTTGGGAAGTCGTTCGCTCTTGGGACTGAGAGGGACCAGACATCGATCCAGGTTCTCCACATCTTTCTAAACAAGTCTCTCATGTTTCAAACTTCTAAGTAAACAGCCAGGCAAGGCGTGTTAGTTTTTACTTTGTTTTCTCAACTTGTAAATGTACCTTTTACTAGAGTGTTCATCTCTGTTTGCTGTACTTTGAACCTGAGGCTAGAGGGGAGTCCTCTGAGCTCTTTAAGTTTGATTACCCTGTAAAGTTATTTTCCATACTGATTTTACAGAGATGATTTTTACCTTTTTTCTTTAATTAAAAGCCTTCTTTTTAAGAACCCGATTGATTTCTCCTTGTTTTAAGATCCAAGGGGTTTGGATCTTGATCCACCAGGACTTGGTGGGAGGAAGGTGGGGAATGGTTAATTTCTCCTTGTTTTAAGATCCAAGGGGTTTGGATCTGTATTCACCAGGGAATTGGTGAAGAGTTTCTCAAGGCTTCCCAGGGAAGGGAATCCACTTGGGAATGGTGGCAGCGGACCAGATCTAAGCTGGTAGTTAAGCTTAGCAGTTTTCATGCAGGCCCCCACATTTGTACCCTAAAGTTCAGAGTGGGGAAGCAGCCTTGACATGGTGGCATAGCGGTGGGAATCATTTTAAACCCAAAAGCCAGTAAGATTTTTTTTTCCTTCTAGCTGCTTGGAAAGCAGAGCTTAAGGTAGATGCATATCGTATCTCTCCTTGCCTGACGGCAGAGGTGTTAAGTTTTTTTAACAAGGGTCTTTGTTAAGAGAAGGGCTCAATTAATGAGCAAACAACTGGTAAAAGGAATTTACAAGCTGAATTGTTTTTTTTTCTTTTTACACCCTCGGGAGTAGCTAGTTAGAAAGTCTCTGTTACCTCAGCAGCAGCCTGAGCTGAGTGCATCCCAGTTTCAGTCAACTGCAGAGGGGTGTGACCCAGCAAAAGAAAACAGGAAAATGACTACAAAAGAAGAGAAAGCCAAAGAGGAGGCCCACAAAAGAGCTATGGATCTGAAAGAAAAAGAGATGGGGGAGAGAGAAAAAGAAAGGAAGCATGAACTGGAAGTAGCAAGGGCTAGGCCAGATACAACAGCCAATAGTAACAACCCCTCTCCAGGTACCACTTCCCATTCCAAAAAATTCCCCACCTACAAGGCAGGCGATGATACTGAGGCCTTCTTAGAGAAAATTTTGAAAGGGCCTGCCTTCGATACAGCTTCACTGCAGACCAGTACATGGTAGAGCTGAGGCCGCAGCTCAGTGGACCCTTAGCAGAGGTG